GTGACTTATACAATGAATGAAAAGTCAGTAACAGTTGAATTGTTAGTCTTAATAATTAATTATATTAAAAATGCCAGATAGAAATGATTAGGAGCTTACATAATCTAATCTTGATGAAGTTGAAATGTAATCTTTCGATAATCTCAATTGAACAAAGCTTTTTTAATCATGACCTGTTCAAGTTTCAAGTTATACATATATAATAACAAAAAGGGTCAAATACAAAAATACCAACATACCATGGACTTTGTATCATATATCCTCTTATACTATATATAAATACAAAAATCTCTTTAATGTTATATTCTTTTGTAAAATCTGACGAAAATAGCCCTGCTAAGCCTATGAATATAAGGGTTTGTTTGAGCCATTTTCCACTATAGTTTTTTCACATATTCAGCCAAATTTTTACTTGGGAAATTTTGATATTTTTATTTTTTTTCTTCAAAACATTTAACATTTAATTTCTTCATATTTTTCTTAAATGTCTTCCGATAGTTCAAATTCTCAACAATAATAGGATTGTAAAGATGTTTGTAATCTTAGGATGTTTGAACTACCGGAAGACATTTATACAAAAGAAATGAAGAAACTCGAAATGACAAAAATAAAGATTTTATTCAGAAAATTAAAAAAATCTATGCAATTAAATGTTTTGGAGAAAAAATATAAATACCAAAAATTTTCGCGTAAAATTGACTAAAAATGTAAAATATATAGTGAAAAATGGCTCAAACTATATATATATATATATATATATATATATATATATATATATATATATATATATATATATATATATATATATATGCGTGAGTATGGGTGTTTTCGTCATATTTTGAAAAAAATGTAACATCGAAGAGGTTTTTGTATTTATGTGTACTACAGAGGATATATGATACAAAGTTCATATATAGTACAGGGATGTTTTTGTATTTAACCCTAACAAAATCATATGAAAGATATAACTCCAGTGCCTTTTTTATTTATTTATTATCGAATGAGTTGAATTCGAACTTGATTATGTTGCACCAACATTCAGGTTGGAGTTAGATCGGAATCGGCTCGCGTAGATAAGAATCAGTTAAGGGTTGGGGTTTTCTCAACCGCCGTCGGTTAACGTAACGAAAAGATTTTTAATTAAGAATTTCATGGACCGGTGTTTTGTAAAAATAATCAAGTTGGCATTACCAAAATGAGAAAGGGCATAATATAATGGCTCCTTCGTCGCTACACCCGATGATAAGTACTGGGTGAATCTTCTGCTGCCACGTGTCCTTTTTTATTTTTCTAAATTTATATATGGTTTACCTAAACCCCTTCAAATTTCGCAATGAAAGTTTTGTTCTACTCTAGTTGTACGAGTTGCACGTGCGAGGCATGTGAGATTTTGGGTGGAAAAACGTCAATTCATTTACATCAAAACTAAATTGCAAAACTTTCATTCGCACTCTATTGAACAAACAATTTCCTCTGCATAAGAGAGCTTAAGCAATTTATTCACTCATTGGGATTTCGGCTAAAAAATACCCAATAACTAATATTAATTAATCTCTTTTATAATTAATTACTCAAAAATAATGAATTATAGTAGTTAGTAAAAAATCAATAAATCAGTCTTCTAAGAGTATATTATTATTTACATTTTGTGTTATGACTATGATACTATAGTGTCTATTATATTCAAGATTGTAAATATTATATATTATGTATATAATTATAAATATGACATAATACTCTATTTTATGATGAATCGTATATTATTTTCTTTTAAATAACGATAAAATATAATGATTAGTTCAAATTTGAAGTTTGTTGTTACTTGTTAACGAGCTTATGAGATCCTACACCTGGTGAAATTCATCATGTGATTTTGGAGATCTGCATAAATAACTATTCATCAAGCACACATATACATGTGTGTTTATTATGCGTAGATCTACAGTTTAAAACTACATGATGTATACATCAGGTGAAGGTTTTACAAAACTTTTGTTAGTATGAACAGTTAATAGGGTAGATGCCTGCATGAGTAGTGTAGCTCAACTGGTTACGGGGTGGTAAGTTGGTGCAAGGTCCTAGGATCGAATCCTGACAATGTGGAAATTTCAATTCCAATGATGGTTGGTTCCTTGTGGGCACCAGGTCCGAGTCCGCTACCCTAAACGGGCCATTGAGTCACCATGAATTTACATCCCTCCATCAAATACTTGTCGGGTCAAGGGATTTCAAATTCATACTAACAAATCTTTCGACTTGTTTGGATTGAGGGATTTAGGAATGGATTTCATATTCACCCTGCTCCTTTTTAGTTGTTTTTTGAGCAATCGTGGTGGATTTCAAATGACTCCAATTACATTTGGAAAGGAGGGGTGTGGATTAGAAATTCCTTGTCAAGTCCCTCACTACAAACAAGTGCAAGGGATATGGTATTATGGATTTCTAATTCTCCATCCAAATGGACTAGAAACAAGTGCAAAGAATTTGTTACTATGGATTTGTTCGTCCAATTCTCTTTTCCAAATCAAATCGTTCCATTCAAATGGAGCCTAACATTAAAATTTAGCTATTGAAAGCTTTTGGAGATAATTATTGTTCGTTGAGAGATAAATTTAGCTGTTAAAGAATGAGAATAGATACTTCCGACATGCTCTCATACATCAACTTATATCGCTCACAATGAGTTAGCTAAAACATCGTGGGCTAAAACCAGTGTTCTAAAAATCGGCTGAGGCGGTCGATTAATCGGTCTTCGAGGCGGAGGCGGTCACAAACCTTTACAATTTTAGTGTAGAGGTTTGAAAAATCGGTTTTTTATCTGTGAGGCGGTCTGAGGAGGTCAAATCTTTAAGGCATGACAAACTCGATAGCAAATATCGGTCAAAATCTATCAAAAATCGATTTTTTTTCTTTTCTTCTTATTATTCAAAATAAAAGTTGGGATTCTAATAAAAGAAAATGTGTTTATGCTTTATTTTGTTTATGTTAATTGTTATTGTTAAAGAACTAATGATGTATGCCACGAATGTTCAAGAATAAATGTAAATTCAAAATATTGTCTTTTTATTTGTATTTTATAAGGATATTTATGTATTATGATCTTATTATTATTGAACTTTTATTATGTTATTAGGATATATACGTGATGAAGATATAACTATATTTAAATATATTTTTATATATGTTTTGAGTATTTATAAATAATATCTGAAAATATATTATATTAAATTTTAAAAAACCGATTTATTTCCAATTTATCACCGATTAATCACCCCCACACCGTTTAATCGTGAGTCGGTGTCTGACCGCCTTCGACCCGATTACTGTTTTTTACAACCTTGGCTAAACCACAGTGGCCTCGTTTGCTGGAAGTCCAAGTAATAAGAATTCTACAAACAAAGCGCATTAACTGTCATCTTGTAGGCCTCGTTTGGTTGGGGAGATTAACCATTATCAACTAAATAATTGGACTTTATTTGATGTTTGGTATCCTCAATAACTTACCGGGTCGACCCACAAGTATTATGTTATCATAGTTTATCTTGCCTTATCTCTTACCTTTTAGTGGGTTTTTTTTTGTTGGACGTCCCGAGATCTAGGGGTGTGTTTGGTAAGGCAACCGTACCAAACTCCTCGAATCACACCATTACCGAAATTTCGATATTATGAAATTCATTACCATTGCCCTACAAAAAACTTCGGTATACCAAAAGTTCGGTACAGTAGGGTATTGGTAATGGTAGTTACCAATTTATGTTATGTACTATTTAAGTCTAAATTGAATATCATTTTTTCAAAGCAATTCAAGGTATATACAAGTTTAAAATGTTCAAAACTAGTATTTAAGATATAAGCATTCTAAATATATGTTCTTAATTTACCTAATATAAAATATTTTTGACATACCTAAAGAGTATAATTAATTTTAACTAAATGTAGTTAATTAGTATATTGCGTTCACTTTTCATATATAATAAAATAATTATTAAAAATAAAATTTTATTTACTAATAATATTTCGGTACAATAAAATAATACCATTTTAATAATATTGAGTGTCGTCGCCCTACCAAATTTTTTTGGTATGGTACGATAAGGTAATAACTCGGTAGAAATATTTTGATAAAAAATCAGTAGAGTTCGTTAGGGCGACAAGTTGGTAAGACAATTTGGTATAAAAAATCCAACCCCTACCGAGATTCAATTAAATAATTAAATTTTCATTAAACTATTTGGTCTTATCTTGCCTAATCTTACTTCGACAAGCAAACAACTAAGCTTACCACTAGTCCCACGTATGATAGTTGTTGATGGTGGATGTGACTACATTCGGTCCAAAAATAAAAAAGGTGAAAGGCCTGCAACATGATATGGGCCAAGGGAAGACCCACTTGCTGCTAGCTATAAAAGAAGTGATCACGTATGTGGATTCTTTCTATTGAACTAGGCTCAGCTACCAAAAAACGAAACAACTTGCCCGCAACAGACAAGCAAATTCCGAAGTAATCGCATCACTCTCATGTGTGATTTGACCACATACAGGATAAGGGGTCCACCGCTCTGTCCTATGATAGGTATATTTATAATCTTGAGGTGAATAGTCTCTCTGGCATTCTAATAATCGTTGGTGTGCTAACACCAAGAAAACCATTCACCGACACTCCTCTTTGCAGGTCTCCTAAGAGTACGAGTATTTTGTTTTGAGTTCTCTTTGATTCAGGCCGATTCTATTAGCGTATATATTATATATGTATTACGTATATTATTATTATTCCTATTTATTCTAGTTACCTTGTATAATAGGTTACCTTGTGTAGTTAGGATTAGGGTTTCCTACATAATAACTATATATATGATTAATATACGTGAGAGATAATTCATTCTCTCTTTTCTCCAAAACCTAATTCTCATACATGGTATCAGAGCCTAGGTTAACCTAGCCGTCACCACCTCTTCTTCTCTTCTTCTTCATAGCCGTCGTCGTCGCCCCCCTTCTTCTCCATGGCCGGCGAAGCTTCTTCTCCCTCCACCGCTCCTCTCAATCCTTTTCACCTTGCTCATGCCATCTCTAATATTAAATCTCTCATCCCCGTTACTCTAGATCTAAAAAATCCTAATTATCAAAAGTGGAGCCACTTTTTCACGATTACCGTCGGTCGTTTCTGCCTCTCCGACCTTCTACATGGAAAACCCCGACCGGATTCGATTTCCGCCGACGAATGGCAGCGCGCCGACTATCTCCTCCAATCTTGGATCTACGGCACCATCTCCGACGATCTGTCCAGCATGGTTCTCTCAAAAACCTCCACCGCCATCTCTTCTCTCTTCACTGATAACAAAGATTATCGAGCCATTCAACTTGAAGAAAAATTCAAGTCCCTCAAGAAAGGCGCTCTCTCAATTCACGATTATTGCCAAATAATCAAAACCACGGCGGACAACTTGGCCGATGTCGGAAATCCAATCTCCGACAAACAACTCGTCCTACCAACCCTACACGGCCTTCCGAAACATTACGGGACCGTCGCCAACCTAATCTCCTTTCAGAATCCCCTTCCCACTTTTCTATAGACTCGATCTCTTCTTCAAATGGAAGAAACAAGAATCGCTGAACCGGAGCAGACCGCTGTTGTTCTCTACGCCTCCAACGCGAACTGTCCATCCAACAGTTGCAATGGTTCCTGCAACAGTTCCCGCGGAGGTAGTTCTTCGCGTTATCAGCGCGGGGGTGGCCGATCCAACCGTCGCGGAGGTCGCAGCACTAACCGTCACCCCATGCAGCACTACGACTACCATAGTGCCCATGGCGCATCTCAACTCTGGCGTGCACCTTACCGACAACCGTCAATTCTGGGATCCGCTCCAAATACATCGGGCCACTCATCCACTCCAGCGGCTCAAGCCTACTTTACTGGACCACGTGAACCCTACACCGGCCACTCGGCTCCTACTCAGGTTCATCCGCAGCAACAACCATGCCACAGCTCTAACAGTTTCATCAACAATTGCAACAGTTCCTGCAACAGTGCCAACGTGGTGGATCTCGCAAACTGTTTGAATACGGTGACACTTCAGCAGCCTACCGAGTCACAGTGGTTCATGGACAGCGGGGCGACCTCTCATATGGCACCGCACTCAGGTAATTTCAATTTTGTTTTTAATCCTGGCAGTCATTTCCCCAAACATGTCGTCGTCGGTAATGGTTCCACCCTCCCCATAACCCACATAGGCCACACAATTCTTCCCACCACTCCTTTCCGCCTCACAAATGTCTATGTCACACCCAATATCGTCAAACACCTTATCTCTGTTCGAAAGTTCACCCGCGACAACTCATGTTCAGTTGAATTTGACCCGTTTGGTTTTTCTGTGAAGGATCTTCGGAGTCGAGTCGAGATTTTCAGGTGCAATAGCTCCGGTGACCTATATCCATTTAAAGTCCCTCCCCCCACCTCACATCCCGTTGCTTTCCTCACTGTCGCAACACCTTCATCTCGCACTCTTTGGCATCGGCGTCTAGGCCATCCCGGCAAACAGGTCATGTCTCGTTTATTTTCTAGCACTTTTCTTTCCCATAATAAAGACCCTGGGGAGTCTCTTTGTAATGCCTGTCAATTAGGCAAACATTTTCGTCTACCATTTTTTTCTCAAAAATCTACTACTGTTGCCCCCATTTCAAATTATTCATGCTGATTTATGGACTTCTCCTGTTTCTAGTTTTACGGGTTTCAAATATTATCTTGTGTTAGTTGATGATTTTACCCATTATTTATGGACTTTTCCTATTCGAAATAAATATGATGTTTTTACAACCTTTGTCAATTTTCATATACTTCTCAAAACTCAATTCCAACATCCCCTGAAAGCCTTACAAAGTGATAATGGTCGTGAATTCAAAAATGCGGATTTTCAAAACTACTTCACTAAACACGGCATCCTAAATTGCTTTTCGTGTCCCCACACCTCCCCTCAAAACGGACACGCAGAACGAATGATCCGCACTATAACTAACATGATTCGATCCCTCATCTTTCAAGCTCATCTTCCTCCTACTTATTGGGTCGAAGCCCTTCATATGGCCACACACCTACTCAATATCTTACCTACCAAAACCACACAAAACTGGACTCCTCACGAAGCTCTTTACCTCATCAAACCTACATACTCTCATCTTCGAGTATTCGGCTGTCTCTGTTATCCCAACCTCACCGCCACCACAACACATAAACTCGCCCCCCGTTCTACTCCTTGTGTCTATCTCGGTCACCCTTCCTCTCACAAAGGTTATCGTTGCCTTGATAGATCCACTGGCCGAATCATAATTTCTCGTCATGTTACCTTCGACGAAACTAACTTTCCTTTTGTGGAGTCCACTCCCCCCAAAAACACACTTCCTCCTTCTGCCTTGGACGAAAACACACCCTCCCTGTTCCTCCTCCCTCAGACTTCGTCTAACTATTGCAACAGTTCATCCAACTGTTCCAACAGTGAACCACCCTCTTCCAACAGTTCGTCCAACAGTCCTATAACACAGCCAACACCTGTTTCTCCTGCAGCACCACCTCTCAACCACGGCCAGCTCACAACCCCTTCTACTACTTCCACATCTCCTTCCCCTACTCCCACACCTCCCCCACCTCCCCCCGCTCACCCTATGGTGACTTGCAGTAAAGTGGGCATCCACAAACCCAAAGTCCCTTTCTCTCTCGTTGCGTCCTCTACCTCTTCCATTCCCACCAACTATCGGCAAGCTCTTCTTGACCAAAACTGGCGAAACGCCATGATTGAGGAATATACTGCTTTAATTAAAAACAATACTTGGAATGTTGTGGATATACAAACTGGATATACAAAACTGGATTAAAAACAAAACTGGCGAAACGCCAAGCCCTTTCACTAATGCTATTTCTGGTAAGTGGATATACAAACAGAAACTCAAGTCTGATGGCTCTCTTGAGCGATACAAAGCACGGTGGGTTGTTCGTGGGTTTCACCAGCAGGCTGGCATCGACTTTGACGAGACTTTTAGCCCAGTTGTCAAACCAGCCACTGTTCGAACAGTTCTCAGTATTGCTCTCTCACGATCATGGCCAATCCACCAGCTTGATGTGAAAAATGCCTTCTTACATGGCGATCTCTCTGAAACTGTCTACTGCGAGCAACCTCCCGGATTCGTCGATCCATCTCGCCCCACCCACGTGTGTCGTCTCAACAAAGCACTCTACGGTCTCAAGCAGGCACCACGTGCTTGGTACAAGCGTTTTGCATCTCACATTACTACCATGGGGTTCAGAGAATGCAAGTCCGACACTTCACTCTTTGTGTACTGTCGCAACAGTTCACGCGACTGTCGCAACAGTTCACGCGATTGTCGCAACAGTTCATGCGCCTACCTTCTGCTGTATGTCGATGACATTGTACTTACGGCCTCCACACCTGAATTGCTCCGCTCTATCATCGCTGCCCTTAATCAAGAGTTCGCAATGAAGGATCTTGGCGATCTTCACTACTTTCTCGGCATCTCAGTTACTCGCTCGTCGAATGGGCTATTTCTCTCTCAACGCATGTACGCCGACGAGATACTAGAGTGTGTACACATGGCTTCCTGGAACCCTTGTCTTACGCCAGCTGACACAAAGAGCAAGTTGTCTTCGACCACTGGACCCCCCGTTGCTGACCCTACTCTTTATCGCAGCCTTGCCGGTGCACTGCAATACCTCACGTTTACTCATCCCGACATCTGCTATGTTGTGCAACAAATATGTCTATTCATGCATGATCCGAGAGAACCTCATATGGCTACTCTCAAGCGTATCCTTCGCTACATTCGTGGCACTCTCGATCACGGCCTTCAGCTCTCCCCCAATCCGGACCTCTCCCTTATCGCTTACTCCGACGCCGATTGGGGTGGCTGCCCTGACACTCGTCGTTCGACATCGGGCTATTGTGTTTTCCTCGGCAACAACCTCATCTCTTGGTCCTCCAAACGACAAGTCACTACTTCTCGATCGAGTGCGGAGGCCGAATATCGAGCTGTCGCAAATGCCGTCGCCGAAACGACATGGTTACGCAACCTACTTTCTGAGTTGCTCTGCCCACTTTCAAAAGCCACTATTGTCTACTGTGACAACGTCAGTGCCGTCTACCTATCCAGCAATCCTATTCAATACTCTCGTACGAAACATGTGGAGATCGATATCCACTTTGTCTGAGACAAAGTTGCTTTGGGACACGTTCGAGTTCTTCACGTCCCATCCGCCTACCAGTTTGCCGATATCTTCACGAAAGGACTCCCTACTCAACTGTTCCAACAATTTGTCTCCAGTCTCCACGTCCTCTCCTTTCCCGTTTCGACTGCGGGGGTGTATTAGCGTATATATTATATATATATTACGTATATTATTATTATTCATATTTATTCTAGTTACCTTGTATAATAGGTTACCTCGTGTAGTTAGGATTAGGGTTTCCTACATAATAACTATATATATAATTAATATACGTGAGAGATAATTCATTCTCTCTTTTCTCCAAAACCTAATTCTCCTATAGATTCGATTCATTTATGTTCAAATGAGTCAATTGGGCTACATCAACCGTAAAATTAAGATTACAATCTCTCGGAAGTAGCTCTGGTCCTTGGAGATGTTTCCTTCTTTTCTTATTCCTTCATCATTTTCGGACTTTGACCCTAATTTTGTGGTCCATTTTTCTAGAAACTTCAGTTCATACTTTTCGTAGGTCCAACTAATTCTCGGATTTGAACATCTCTTGACCTTCAATTACGAGTCTGCCACTGCTCGTTAACGTTGAAGTTGTACCTTCAATAACAAAAAAACAAATTAAAATTGATTTGTCAAAAAAGTTAACTAGAAAGAAACATAAAAATATATATATTATATTTCTGCTTAAGAAAAAATTAAAGCACATAGAAAAATGCACAGCGTGACGACCAAGGAATAAAAATCTGGGTTTACGGGCAGCCGACTACTGGAAACCTCCTCTCCTCTTTCTTTTTAAGGGAAAAATAATATTTAATTTATAAAAAAAAATCTTGTTCAAAAAACAAAAAGGAAAAAATACATTTAACAATAAAAAAAATAATACTAATTAACGATTTTGATATTAATTACTATTTACTTTTTTGCAATAAAAATAACGAGTGTTTTGGATAGTTTCGTCTTCAGTCAAGTCCTTAATTTGCTTGGGAAAATTGTCTTGGTGAAAATTAAGAAATGAAATCTCCTTGGAAATTTGTACTGCCCAATAAAAATTGAATTTACTTCATAATTACGCAAAATTCTAATATTTAATTACTACTATACAAACAAATTGTCCAACTGAAAAAAATATTGGGTTTCCCGGTCACCGGAGTAAAAATTAACCCTTTTCGGTAATAGAACCCAGCCGTCTCGATGACGTGTCACCGGCGGGTGATTTTAGCAAACCCAATAAGTTTCAAGATTTTGCCATGGCGGACAGGCGGCTGGGGCGGGGGCGGAACTCACCGCGGCGGCGCTGGTTATGGGAGGAAGGGCGAATCAACGCCGCGAGAGCTCTCGTCACCAAATCCCCCTCCACCGTACCGATTCGAACCAGAGAATTTTTCATGGCGGACCGCCTCATATTCAGCCTGCTGGAGCTCCCACACGACGCCGTTCTCGAAGCGGTGGGTTTGTTGGGTTTGTGTAAGCTGCATCGGAATGAACCGGGGTGGTTTGTGGGGGAGCACATGCACGTTTGCTTCTTCTGAGGAGCGGCGGCGGGTTTACCGGACCGGGTGGTGAAGGATATGGACCGGTTGGGCGAACCGGGCCGATCCATGGAAAACCTGAGTGAAGGAGAAGAGTAGTTGTACAGGGCAGGGGAGGCAGGTCTCTGGAGGGAGGCGGCGGCGGAGGAGGAATGGGACGGCGTGGACTGGTGGGTGGCGGAGTAGTGGCGGTTGAAACTAGAGGAAGGGGAGATGGACCGGATGACCGGTCCACTGGATCTACGAGCTGCTAAAGCCGCCATTTTCGCTGATGATTGATTGGGAGAAGAGGGGATTTGCGTGTTCAATTTGGCAAACCGATCTCTACTCCACCTATCTATTTATACACTCTCAAACTTTCATTTTTTAGGGGTGGGGGTGGGGTGGGGGTGGGGGTGGGTTAGGGGGGTAATAGGGTAGGGGTGTGATGCTTTGTTTACTTTCTATTTTTCTTTTTTTTTTTTTTCTTTTTTGGGTATGGCGGTCTTGGCTTTTCATTAATTGCACTTGTGGCCCCTCATTCTAGATAATGTGATTAAAGACTCGTGATTTGGCGCAAATTGCTTCATACTAGCTGTTGGGCATCAAGATTAATTCTTCTAATTGAATTAGCATCATTAACGTGTTAAAATTTTGTCCTAGCTTTGTTTTCGGTGTCATTTGATTAGGAGTCTGATGGTGTCGAATTCGCCTCTTTTGACAGGCTCGAGCTCGAGTCTATTTTATTAAGCTCGAGTTTGAACCCAAGTTCATTTATGATTTTTTTATTATTGTAAATTATTTAGATTATAAAAAAAATTACATATATAATATATATATATATATATATATATATATATATATATATATATATATATGAAAAAAGGGCTCGCGAGCCGGCTCGTCAGTTCACAATGACTAAAAAAAGGTTGACCTGCACTCTTCAGAAAGCTTGAGTTCG